ATTTCAAGTGAGATTATCAAAAACGGTGAGGAGAAAGACATTGGCACTGCAGAGATGAGAGTGAAAGTGTGAGGGGGAAAGAAAAACGGAGTTAGCCGACATACAGAAATATGAATAAATATTAAAAGTTTTTAGTTGGAAAAGTGGAAAAATGTGCATAATAAAGACAAGAGAGAATATAAAAAAAAAAGGAAAATCAACAGGTAACAGTTAAATAAATTCCAATTGAGTACAAAAGCATAACTGATCGATATCGGCATGTTAGGCTGTTCTTTTGTCATCGGCTTAGAGCTCTTGTGATGTACTTTGATACAATTAATATAATTGATTTTTTTGCGTATTTAATTTTGTTCTCTTTTATCTTAATTTTTCGTTCAAATATAACTAGCTTATGCTACTTTTTTTGGATAGTAATATTGTTAATAATAGAATATAAAAATTTAAGAAAAATTTAAATAGTTAACAGATGACACTCTTTATACTATGTATTTATAAAATCACTAAAGGATGGTATAACGAATTTGTGCAAATGTATGTTACAGCCAGAATAGTTCATTTTCGACGTCGTTAAACATACAGCTAAATAAGATATAAGCTAAACAGCCGAGTCGATGTAGCCAAGACCCACGGTATGTTCGTCTGATCGTTAAATCCGCGTCAGATAAGGCTGTTGGACAAAAATGGCCTAAATTTGATTGGAGTGTTACTTGATTTTTTTATTTGCATACGGGTATTAGGCAAATAAAAGCTATATATCTTGGTAAATTTGTTGCATAGATATATAGACTTGCATTGCTCTTCGAAGTTAAAGTATTATTTGAGAACAAATTCTCTACAGCTTTTTAACTTGTATAGCAGTTGTATTTAATCAAGACGTGTGCAATATGAAAAATACCTACTGTCTGTTAAAGAAACCAAACTTCAAGTCAAACGCCATCAGGAGTATTGTATCTGTATGTTGGCATACGAAACAGTGACTGCTCGAGCGGCGAGCCAACGTCATCATTCTCTCAGAGTGGGCGGACGCCCACTAGTGACAGCTCGAGGCGAGTCCAAACGCCCAGGCATAACTACCCGCTAGTCAAGCCAACCCTACGTATAATGATAAACATGCACAGGCAGCGAGAATCAGAGCAAGGGGGAGAGAGTGAGGTAAAAGGCAACCCGAGCATTTCGAGATATTCTCTTTTAGCAATTTCACGCACTATACGTGCATGTGGCAGGCCATACATAATACAAATACAAATACAAATGTCATGAAATACATGCATAAGTTTTACCCATACAGCGACAAGCTGAGATGGAGTGTGTGTGTGAGAGAGAGGGAGAGAGGTGCCGCTGTCTCTCTATTTCTCGCAATCTTTGCGTGGCATTTTTACGATTTCTGTTCGCCGAGTGTAACTAAGCAAACAGCTCGAGGCGCAACAAATTATAATGTACATAATGGCAATGCGTTGCAGACACACACGCACGCACACTCACGCACTCAACTATAGTCTCAAGATATTCACAGATAAGCGCAGTGCGTGGCTGTAGGCCACGAAGAGGTTCCTTGAGTTGACCATGTCGTATACTTGATATTTAATGGCAAACTTTGCATAATATTCTCCCACATCTCCTCCACGCCCCCTCCCCCCTCCCCCCTCACATTTTCTCCAACTTGTTCTCTATTTTGCTCTGCTTTATGCTGCGCTACTTTGCGCTTTGTGTTATCACTGACAATTTAGTAGCACAGCACAAAAAAAAACGAGACGCCAAACGAAGTGTAATCTGATTGCATTTGGCAGCAGCACAAAGCGAACCAGCGAGCAGAGGGGAATGTGTGTATGTGTGGAAGGGAAGAGGGGGGGGGGGGGGGGAAGGGTCGGGATGGAAAGGGGCACGTCGAGGGTTATAATGTCGGTGTCATGTCCTGGCGTCTGCCAAAGGCGTTTTGCTTAATCAAACGTCGCTCTTTGTGTCAGCGCGATGTCAGTAAAGCGCTTTACACCTTGCCATGTTACTGTCTGTTGTCCCCTCTCGCTCTCCTGTATCCCCATCACCATCCCTTTCTGGCCAATACTCGCCTCGCTTTGGGCCACGCCAAGTCATTCAGTCAGTCAGCGAGCGAGGCAATCGCTGAGATTGATTATGTCTGCTTTAATCTTGCAAATGTAATCAACATGTTTATAGGTTTTGGCCGCCCCTCTTTTAGACCAAGCCCACGCCACTGGCATACACCTACGGGGGGTTCTATTTTTTAGACAGTCTGCTTACTGACTTCATTTAGCTTACACTTTGTGCGGATGTGCAGCTGCTCTTGTGTGTGAGTTAACTATGTGGCACGTTAACATGATTATGCCAAAATAAAAAATTGGATTTAGAGCCAAATTTTATAAAGGAAAGAACTGCTACTAGATAGTAGTATCCAGATAATGCTACTAAATATTGTACCATATAAGTGCAGCTGGTAGAAAAAATAAAAAAAATTATGTTAAAAACGGAAAAGAATTATTCTCACTGGAATGCCGACAATTAAATGCTCTTGGAGACATAAAAGGGATTAGCTATTTACTATTCCTTTCATTCTTTTCGACTTGTGTTTCGGCCGATTGGTCCTATATCAGATATATCATAGAGTCCACCCATTTGAGGAATTAACAAACTAGTTGGCGGTTGTGACACAGTCATAGTTTGTATTCCAAGGGTATGCAAGGGTAGAAAACGGGAAGGCTCTTCAATATGTTTTCAAGGTCAAACATGTACTAGATTATCGTGCTGTATAATTGATTTGGTCACAAGTAAAAGATTTTAAGGAAACATGCGAAAATCTTTAGCATAAACTTAGCATATTTTTTATCGCCCATTTTTATAAGAAATAAATAAAGCGAGAAAGATTTAATACCCTTGTAGACATTTACTTTACGTTTTTGCAGATATAGAAGCAAAGTTGGTAAAGCTGATCTTGATTGAAATATCTTGGATGTTAATCTAGAATATATATACTTTATAGAGTCGAAGATTTCTCCTTCTAGGCGCTACACGTTTCATGATAATAACATAATATCCTCTACAAGAGTGTAAGAAATAATTGATAGTTTTATTCTGACAGAGAAAAATGAATGATGCGTATATTTAAAGTTAGTGCAGCTTGTTTATGATGTTCTTAAAAGAGGTTTTATTTATTTATTTTAATATTCACTTTAATGTATTTAAATGTTTGTTACCAAGTTTGAAATAATGACAACTAAGAGCATTAGGAATATAAACTTTCTTTAAAAACGTATACATTAACTTCTAGTGCTACATTTACATTTACGTTTGCACGTGGAAGATGGCGTAAATTAAATTTAATAATTTTGTTGATATCTAAAAATAGTTTATGGAATTCTTAGGCCAACAACCAGAGGTTTATTTAGATTTTCCAAAATATTCTAAAAATTTACAGAGCTTCGAAACTGCATATTTGAAACATTTGAGGCAGGCGAGTTTTCAATTCGTTCCTTCTGAAGTGTTTTTTGAATGATTGAAAGTTGGTTATATTGTTAATATTAATTGAGGAATTGCAGCGGGCCTACTTTTAGTTATGCCAACTATAGTTGGTAATTGAGATTCTTGAACATCAGAACCCATCTGGCAATTGTTGGGTTAATTGACACCCGCTGACTTGGCAGCACAGCAAACACATGGAGGCCATGCAGGAATCCAGGCAGAAATTCAAGTACCAAATGACAAACAGAATTCGAAGCCGAAGCCACAGCGCGTGTAAACTTTTTGGATCTTGAGCTGGGGGAGCCATGAGCGCGAGAGAGAGAGAGAGAGAGTTTCGAGAGTTTTGGAGTCCGTCAAACTTTAATGATTGTGCGGTGGTGCATAAAGTGCAAAAGCAAAGTACAACATTGAGTGCAGCGGGTCGGCGGAGTGTGAAGGAATGGGTGCTGCTGGGAATGCAATGGGGAATACAATTGGAGCTGTGAGAATTGAGCGAGAGTGAGAGGGAACGAGAAGCGAGCGAGCGGGCAGAATGGCTGGCAAAGTTTTGGACGTCTCTTGTAGAACTTCACACGGTCCGTGGTCCTCGGCGAGTCAGAACTTGAACTTTTAATTTGTTCCAAAGTAAATTTCTGGCAAAAAACTTTAAGTCATATTGGTAGTTGGCTGGCCACGAATCCAGCTTCAGTCTGTGTGCGACATATGTGGCGTCAGCTACGAGCAAGAGATAGGGCTTTGTTTGCAGGGGCAGGGTGCATGGGTACATTGTGTGGGGGAGGTGGAGGCGGTGCCTTCTGTTTTGGCATTCGCAACTAAAATTGCTTCAATGGCTTTGTGGCACTGGCCGCAATCGATGCCGCTGGCCACATGCCACGCCCACTCGCACAATCGCGTGCCAGTGCCCCCAAAACAAAAAAGTTTTTCAATTAAATTTATGTGCAAATAAAGTAAAAATTTGTAATTTTGTAGTCTTTCTTGTTGCTTTTGGCACAAAAAGCCACCAAAATCGCAACATTGACGAATTGCTTAATTGATGTAATTATTTATGTTTCGCAGTGGGGCGTGGCAGGCATGCGAATGATCGGGCTCTGGCCTGGTTTGGATATGCCGTCTGTTAGCAATTAATGGTGCATGTAGCTCGTGGAACAACTAGCTTGAGATATCGGATTGATGATTGATTGATACAAACAAATAGCTTGCTTATAACAAATAAATAATTAAATAAATTTAAATATACAATACTAAAACTAAAATGTTGTATGGCTGCTACCTTTTTATTTTGTTTTTTGGATTAGTATTTTTTTATATTTTTGTTTATTTATTATTATTGTTATTAGGTAGGTATTAGGTAATTTATTTGCCTGTCTGTACATTTACTAGAGTGTAGAGAAAATAGAATTCTACATAATTATCTTGAGTCCATATTATTTTAAAATATATAAAATATAAATATTTTTATTTTAGCTTTTATTAGCCTTTTTGATACAAATACATTTTCCACTTCTTTACGTGGTCTTTGATTTATTGCATATAAACTTTATATTTTTTAAACCATTTTTTTACGAGTCTATTACATTGAAAATTCTGAAAAATTAAAAAGAAAGTATCCTGTGGTCGGATAGGCACCAACTTTGTGTGGTCCGTTTTTTTACAACTCGCACTTGCATTGTAATAAATTCCAAATTTCAAAAGAAAATCCCTGAATACTTAGAACACAACCCTCAGCCAAGTGTTAAGCGTTTAAAGAGCGACTAGCCTCCAGTTGCTATCTAAAATAAAAACAAATAGTAGAAAAAGTTTAAATAAATATGCAAATTGTTCAATTGGTATCACAAAAAAAATGTATTTTTGCTGGGAAATTGTGAAGATTAGTCCAAAAGTTGTTTGGGACAGCGCTTTCCCAGAGCAGAGAAAGCCAGCTGCATACGTCATCATCATCATCATAAATGATAAATCGTCAATTCCCGCTGGCCATGTTCAAGTGGCTTGTTTTACTCTAGTTCTTCTTGGTTTTTTTTTTGTACATCAATAAAAGAAAAGCCAAGGAGCAAAAGAAATAAACAAGTTTCGTTTTTTTTTTTGCCAAGAGCAAAACTACGAGTCGAATGCCACGAATGGGGCGCTAAAGGGTGTGCGGCAAACAAAGCCAATGTAATAAAGGAAAACACAACAATCATATTTTTATGGCAAATGCAAATGTAAAAGGAAAACAGGACAACAGGACGACCGAACAGGACCCAAGCCCAGCCAACTCACTTATGACCCTTCGCCTTGTCCTTGTCAGCGGCCATTGTCGCCCGGATGACAGTTGAGAATAAACTAAAAAACAATAAAATAAATTCAGTTAAACGAATTGCAAATACGCTTCAGAGCAGTACTAATTAGTATTTAATTAAATTAAATTAATTAATTAAATATTAGATATGTATTTTTAAGTTGAATTAACATTAAATTACTTAATAAATAAATTACTTAATTAATAAAACCAAAATTAAAAATATTTTAATGTACAGCTTTCAATAATAATAATATATTTTTAATTAAATTATGTAAGCTCTTAAGAAATTACCGATTTATTTATTTTACATTGAAATATGAGCCTAAATTAGGGTTTTTTAAGTTTATGTTATTATGTTAGATTCATAAAAGTTTGGTTTATTATTTTATACAGAAACTTGGCATTAAAATATAGAATTAGATTAGTTTTCCAACTTTTTACTGAATTAGTATATATAATGTGCTTTAAGTGAATAAGTTTAAGATTAAACAAAGATGGGTTACAATTCTTATTTAACGTATATAAAGGGTATAATTATAGGTGAGAGGATAAAATAATAAAACTAAATATATATGGACATATTTCATATAATTTTTGATTATAAGAGTTCAATAATATACAGTCGTATAGACTGTCTAAATGTCAGGGTATACGAAAATGACAAACGCATATATTTACCTATTACCCGCGGTAGGTGGCGCTGTTGTGGCGGTGGCCGATAAAATGATTTGCGTACAAATTGGTTCGAGCAAAATTCGATTGAGCTGTGGGAATATTCAGCGCCCTTTTGTTAACCGGGTTAACGCGCAAAAGGCAAAGTGGAAAATATGGCAAAAGAGCAGCAGCATCAGCATCAGCATCAACCGCAGCAGCAGCAGCAGCGGCAAAAGCAGCTGAGGAAACCGCCGGCCAACGTTTCCTAACTTCGTAAAGGGCTAAAAGCGATTTGGTCGGGGCCCTGGCAGAAGAAACACTTCAATGCCGAAAAGAAGTTTCCTGGGATAGTGCGAGGGTGGGCAGGGGGCTGGGTAGCTTAGTTTCCATGAGGGTGAAAAAAAAAAATTTAAAAAGCTTTTGTGGTTATTGAATTTGTGAAGCATTCCTTCGCCTTTGTTGCGGCTACAATCTCTGATGCTGCCAAATATGCCGGAAAATTTTAATGATTTCCGCGCGTTGGAGACAGAACTCAGCCTCATACTAGATACGAGCAGCCCGTCGCATTTACTTGAGTAAATGAAAACAAATCGACGTCCAGCGAGTCAGCAGAAGTCGCGGCGAGCGCATTCATTAGATTTTGCCCCAACTGCAAACACAGTTTTTCCCCAATTGCATTGGCCGCATAAGCCAGCTGAGCAGACCAACAGATAAACCAATCGATACGTCATCATTAGTTTTGGGGCAACTCCAATGCCGCAGTCAAGAACTGGCCTCCCAGTTAACTGGGCACTGCTTCTGCCACTGCCTCATGCCTCAATGGGCAAATGATGTGCAATGAATGCGAATATTTCGCGCAAATATCTTGAAGATTGCGGTGGTTTCATTATTGCAAACTACTCATTATTCTAGCAACTTACATTTCTTTAATTTGTGCTTACGTATTTTGAAAATTTAATACTTAAGAATGTATTTTTCGTCCCATTTATGTATGTCTGAAAGGCCATTATTGGGAAGTATCCATTATTCTACATACTTCGCATTCATTAGCTTCTGCTAATATATTTTCGAAATTTTGTACTTGGAAATGAATTTATCTTCCCCATAGATGTATGTCTCAAAGGCAACTACTTTATTTCAATGGAATTATGTTCAAAATAGACATACAAAACTGTTATTGATTGTTGGTAAGGTAGTATATGTATATGCGTAAAGATATTCTTGGTTTATAATTTTAAAATGCATTCTCTAATTTTCAATATAATTTAAATTTATATTATATTATTCCTTGAATGATGAATTTCTTAGATTATTATTATTTTCTAAGCCTTTAAGAGAAATAATGATATAATGAAACTACGTAAAAGTAAATAACAGGTAGTAAAAGAAATATCCGAGACTATAAAGTATTGGTACAAGGAGATGATTAGTTCATATGCCCGTCCTCCTGTTGCTTTTTTTTTATATTTTAAAACATCTAAATATAATCAATGAAATCACGAGAATCTTAAGAGCTGGAACCACCAAAATTGGAACGTTAGCTGTATAGGTTGTACAGTATTCATTGTATACTTATTTTCGCACTCTCGCTCTGATAAAATGTTTCTTATTCGCCTTAATACTAAATTTTACATTCAGGATGTCAGTTCCTCTTTTAACTTTGATTAAAATTTAGCATAGCATACTTTTCGGCGTACATAAAACTATCGCACCATCAAGTTCAGTGAATTTCCTACCTGTGTCAGTTGTTTCATTGATGGCCGCCTGATGGCATCAGAAACGGGTTTCCGTGCCGGACAAGCCGCCAATGTTCATATCTCTTTCCGACTTCTCTATCGCACACGCCGATTGCTTTCTCTGCCTTCTCTCTCGCTGCCTCTCTCCATTTATGTCATACATTTGCTGCCGAATTGGCTAGGTCATATTTGGTTATTTTTTCCATTTTTTTTGAGACCCAAAAGACCGAATTAATTACGCTAATTGAAGTGGCTATATGCCTGCATATGTGTGTGCGTAAGGCTGTGTGTGTGGGTGGGTGTATGTGTGGGCGTGTGAGTGTGTGCCTGTGTCCGTGGGTGTAGAGAGAGAAGCGAAGTGTGCTTTAGGCTTTTTGGTTATTTGTGCTACACGAAAAAGCAAAAGCACTCTGTACGCGGAAAATGAGAAAAATATGAAACAAGTAAGAGGTTCTAGTCGGGAGCTCCCGACTAGGGGATACCCTGAACCCTCTTCTTCCAACATCACATGCATATATATAGTCTATTTTAGAAGCTATATGTCAAGTTTGGTGACTTCTGCCTGTTACATATATTTGGCTTTCGCAAAAATACAATATACCCTTATACCCATTTTTAATGGGTTCAGGTATAAAAAGCCAAACTTCGAGAAAATCGGAATCTTGGAGTAAGATTTGGACATGAATTTCGACCAAAAAATCGGTGTCGAGATTTGAATGCCACAATAATCTAGAGGGAAAACCATGAAGAAAAAGCCAAACTTCGTGAAAATCGGATGAGATTTGGCCGAGATATGGGGGTGGTAATTTTTGACCCATGTCTATATACGAATCTTGGGGTAAGATTTGGACATAAATTTCGACTAAAAAATCGCTATTCATATTTGAATGCCAGATTAATCTAGAGGGAAAACCATGAAGAAAAAGCCAAACTTCGTGAAAATCGGGTGAGATTTGACCGAGTTATGGGGGCGGTAATTTTTGACCCATGTCTATATACGAATCTTGGGGTCAGATAAGGACATAAATTTCGACTAAAAAATCGCTGCTCAGATTTGAATGCCACATTAATCTAGAGGGAAAACCATGAAGAAAAAGACAAACTTCGTGAAAATCGGATAAGATTTGACCGAGTTATGGGGGTAGTAATTTTTGACCCATGTCTATATACGAATCTTGGGGTAAGATTTGGACATAAATTTCGACCAAAAAATCGGTGTTCAGATTTGAATGCCAGATTAATCTAGGGGAAAACCATGAAGAAAAAGCCAAACTTCGTGAAAATCGGATGAGATTTGGCCGAGATATGGGGGTGGTAATTTTTGACCCATGTCTATATACGAATCTTGGGGTAAGATTTGGACATAAATTTCGACTAAAAAATCGCTATTCATATTTGAATGCCAGATTAATCTAGAGGGAAAACCATGAAGAAAAAGCCAAACTTCGTGAAAATCGGATGAGATTTGACCGAGTTATGGGGGTGGTAATTTTTGACCCATGTCTGGATACGAATCTTGGGGTAAGATTTGGACATGAATTTCGAACAAAAAATCGGTGTCGAGATTTGAATGCCACATTAATCTAGAGGGAAAACCATGAAGAAAAAGCCAAACTTCGTGAAAATCGGATGAGATTTGACCGAGTTATGGGGGTGGTAATTTTTGACCCATGTCTGGATACGAATCTTGGGGTAAGATTTGGACATGAATTTCGAACAAAAAATCGGTGTCGAGATTTGAATGCCACATTAATCTAGACTGAAAAACATGAGGAAAACGCCAAACTTCGTGAAAATCGGATGAGATTTGGCCGAGATATTGGGGTGGTAATTTTTGACCCATGTCTGGATACGAATCTTGGGGTAAGATTTGGACATGAATTTCAACCAAAAAATCGGTGTCGAGATTTGAATGCCACATTAATCTAGAGGGAAAACCATGAAGAAAAAGCCAAACTTCGTGAAAATCGGATGAGATTTGACCGAGTTATGGAGGTGGTAATTTTTGACCCATGTCTGGATACGAATCTTGGGGTAAGATTTGGACATGAATTTCGACCAAAAAATCGGTGTCGAGATTTGAATGCCACATTAATCTAGAGGGAAAACCATGAAGAAAAAGCCAAACTTCGTGAAAATCGGATGAGATTTGACTGAGTTATGGGGGTGGTAATTTTTGACCCATGTCTGGATACGAATCTTGGGGTAAAATCGCTGTTCAGATTTGAATGCCACATTAATCTAGAGGGAAAACCATGAAGAAAAAGCCAAACTTCGTGAAAATCGGATGAGATTTGACCGAGTTATGGAGGTGGTAATTTTTGACCCATGTCTGGATACGAATCTTGGGGTAAGATTTGGACATGAATTTCGACCAAAAAATCGGTGTCGAGATTTGAATGCCACATTAATCTAGAGGGAAAACCATGAAGAAAAAGCCAAACTTCGTGAAAATCGGATGAGATTTGACCGAGTTATGGGGGTGGTAATTTTTGACCCATGTCTGGATACGAATCTTGGGGTAAGCTTTGGACATGAATTTCGACCAAAAAATCGGTGTCGAGATTTGAATGCCACATTAATCTAGAGGGAAAACCATGAAGAAAAAGCCAAACTTCGTGAAAATCGGATGAGATTTGGTCGCGATATGGGGGTGGTAATTTTTGACCCATGTCTATATACGAATCTTGGGGTAAGATTTGGACATAAATTTCGACTAAAAAATCGCTGTTCAGATTTGAATGCCACATTAATCTAGAGGGAAAACCATGTAGAAAAAGACAAACTTCGTGAAAATCGGATAAGATTTGACCGAGTTATGGGGGTGGCAATTTTTCACCCATGTCTATATACGAATCTTGGGGTAAGATTTGTACATGAATTTCGACCAAAAAATCGGTGTCGAGATTTGAATGCCAAATTAATCTAGAGGGAAAACCATGAAGAAAAAGCCAAACTTCGTGAAAATCGGATGAGATTTGACCGAGTTATGGAGGTGGTAATTTTTGACCCATGTCCGGATACGAATCTTGGGGTAAGATTTGGACATGAATTTCGACCAAAAAATCGGTGTCGAGATTTGAATGCCACATTAATCTAGAGGGAAAACCATGAAGAAAAAGCCAAACTTCGTGAAAATCGGATGAGATTTGACCGAGTTATGGGGGTGGTAATTTTTGACCCATGTCTGGATACGAATCTTGGGGTAAGCTTTGGACATGAATTTCGACCAAAAAATCGGTGTCGAGATTTGAATGCCACATTAATCTAGAGGGAAAACCATGAAGAAAAAGCCAAACTTCGTGAAAATCGGATGAGATTTGGTCGCGATATGGGGGTGGTAATTTTTGACCCATGTCTATATACGAATCTTGGGGTAAGATTTGGACATAAATTTCGACTAAAAAATCGCTGTTCAGATTTGAATGCCACATTAATCTAGAGGGAAAACCATGTAGAAAAAGACAAACTTCGTGAAAATCGGATAAGATTTGACCGAGTTATGGGGGTGGCAATTTTTCACCCATGTCTATATACGAATCTTGGGGTAAGATTTGGACATGAATTTCGACCAAAAAATCGGTGTCGAGATTTGAATGCCACATTAATCTAGAGGGAAAACCATGAAGAAAAAGCCAAACTTCGTGAAAATCGGATGAGATTTGACCGAGTTATGGGGGTGGTAATTTTTGACCCATGTCTGGATACGAATCTTGGGGTAAGATTTGGACATGAATTTCGACCAAAAAATCGGTGTCGAGATTTGAATGCCACATTAATCTAGAGGGAAAACCATGAAGAAAAAGCCAAACTTCGTGAAAATCGGATGAGATTTGGCCGAGTTATGGGGGTGGTAATTTTTGACCCATGTCTGGATACGAATCTTGGGGTAAGATTTGGACATGAATTTCGACCAAAAAATCGGTGTCGAGATTTGAATGCCACATTAATCTAGAGGGAAAACCATGAAGAAAAAGCCAAACTTCGTGAAAATCGGATAAGATTTGACCGAGTTATGGGGGTGGCAATTTTTCACCCATGTCTATATACGAATCTTGGGGTAAGATTTGGACATGAATTTCGACCAAAAAATCGGTGTCGAGATTTGAATGCCAAATTAATCTAGAGGGAAAACCATGAAGAAAAAGCCAAACTTCGTGAAAATCGGATGAGATTTGACCGAGTTATGGAGGTGGTAATTTTTGACCCATGTCTGGATACGAATCTTGGGGTAAGATTTGGACATGAATTTCGACCAAAAAATCGGTGTCGAGATTTGAATGCCACATTAATCTAGAGGGAAAACCATGAAGAAAAAGCCAAACTTCGTGAAAATCGGATGAGATTTGACTGAGTTATGGGGG